ATCAAAATCAACTGTAGTTTCCGCCGGCTCATCATATTATTCGTTTCATCATTTAGATGCTTGTTTTTTGTTTTTCTTTTAACATTTATAATACAGTATTTGTGGTGTCTCAATGTAAAGTTTCCAATTAGAATATTTTTGCATTTGCTACGCATCTGCAGACATTCATTTCCCAATTTCTGAACTGTGAAGTGCATCGGACATGTAATATTTTTATTGCCTTCGATTGTCAATATGTTCACAGTGCTTTTGATCAAATTTAGTAGGAAGCAGATGAGATGTTACTATCATCAATATATTTGCCAGCTAAATGAAATGAAATTCTTGAAACGAGTATTTTCACAAAAAGATGGTAGAACAGAGAGAATTCATAGTAGAACAGTTTCAGAATTGCTAAAACATCATCAACACGACTGTTTGTTGAGAATGAAGACGTTGAGTGACGAGGAACAGCGACATCTGGCCGCAGCTCGAGAAAAGGCTCGAATGAGAGCGATGAATGCGGCATTTGACCAGTTGCGAGGTAAACTTCGAATGGATAAAAACCGAAAAGTGGCTAAAGTGAAAACGCTTAGGTTCGTCACTTCTGCACTTTTGATATCCCAGTAACTTTCAATTAGCCTTCCAATTTCAGCACTTCAAATTTCACTGTTGCATAATATTTCGAAGATTTCGTGTTTTCCGATTATATTGCCTAATTCTGGATTAGCAGTTTGATCTTATATTCGTCATTATCATAAGACTGAGTTAATTCCCAAACAAGGAATTTGAAAATTTTGCAGCACATCGTTAGAAATGTTCCGTCTGATTGCGAATCAACTCTGACACCACTCAATGCTTGAGAAAATACGATCAGACAATATTTTGACTTCGAACTGAGATGAATTACTTNACGATTCAATCGCACTATCCAGCTACTGTGTATTATCAGTTGAATGATAGGTAACAACATCGTCTGATATGATGCATATAGTGGTTATTACTTATCGAATTTATTGCAGTGTGTTATTTCTTAGGAAGTGATCATATTGTTGACTCGTGTTGTATCATTTGCAGTGATTTGTTCGCGCAGTCGCTTCCATCCGCACTTAGTCGTTTCATTCTGGAAACGTCATGAGATGACTGACATTCGCGATATGGTACATTCTAGATAATGATTTAGAAATACATAACGTTACAACACAACGGGTTCATACAGCTACCAGTTATCATTTTCCGGCTTTTTTTTGAGATGTCGTAATGAATAGTTTTGAGATGTCCCGTTCTGATTATGAGATCAATGAGTGAGGAGTGGAAGTTGTTTTTGGTTATCATATGCAAAAATTCATGAGTTCGTTTGACCTGTTTCTCACGCTGTCAATCTCAGACCTTGACGTTCGACGGAGTTTGAAGCTAACTGGACTGTTACTTGGACCTAATGATTGCTCACGGCGTCGCCATTCGTTGACACGATCCACTGCGTCTGTGAATGTCAACGACTTACCCAATGCCTGAAAATAATTACCTGACGGGCAATAAAGCCAGTGGCGCATTCTGACTTACTACTGATCGAATTAACGAGTATATTATCATAGTATCAGAATATAAGTTGAACTTGAACAATTGTCAATCTGTATGTACAATTTCATTATAAACTATAATAAAATTTTCCTGTGCTGAGAAATACGTCGTATATTATGAATGTTGCCCACAATTTTGTTTTCAGCTGTTTCAAAACTTACAAATTGATCTAATATATGATAGACCATCCAACCATACCATCATCTATGGATAAGCTTCAATCGCAAAAACGTGTCACCTTAACAAAAAGTTATTCTAAAAATTATGCTTTAGAAATGTTATACCATACTGACGATGCCGCACCATCCATTTTTATCGATTCTTTGCAAAAGTTTCCTGAATTGGTGACAGTAAATGTACTCACAACCAAGTACGAGGATTCCGATAATCTGCAAAAATTCGTAAGCACTACCACAGAATCAAACAATTGCGCAACGACACTTACTTCTCAAATCAAGGAATCAAAATGGCTTCCTAAACCATTCTCAACAGTAGCATTTAAGAAACAGTTTCAATGGATTTATTTCATTTCGTATTAATTGGATAATAAAGATCTAAGAGGCGATTTTACAGATTCTGAATTCAAACGAGTATGATCCTGAATGCAAAATTAAACAAGCTTTTGAACACACGATTACTAGTAGAGTCAAGCAACTGAATGAACTTAGAGGAATATAACTCACAGTGCCACCAATAAGCAGAAAGAAGGCGCTCATGAAGTTTTCGACTCCAAGTGGAGCGCTGTGCGTTTGTGCATGTGGGTCACGGCCACAAGCGCCAGTCAACCAGAAATTCTGCAGACGTTCCAGATCACCTGTAGAGTGCATCTGGTTAAGAGTTAGGTCTGTATTCAGCTATTACCACTTGGAAATTGTTGCTCACATATCCGAGTATTAAAAACTATATTTCCGTAGAACTTTCATAGCACAGAAGTCAATCGCTGAATTGAAAACATAAGAAATTGCAGCTGATCAAAAAAATCATGTTATGAGACAAATAGATCAAAATCGATTCAATCACCCTTTTGTTGATACTGCAACATGAATTGATTAACTTTTTGGACGTGTGGAGAATTCTTCGGAAAACCTATTCCTGCAATTTTGAACGATTCAAATTCAATATAAAACTGAAAGTGGGAAGAATATGAAGTAGTGACCAGAAAAAATTCGAGTTTGTATTTTCAATAAACGAATTTGAAGTGATGAAATCGGGTAAAAATTTTGGAGTCATCATTAAGTTTTCTCGAAATGATTATCTGCACAATATCTGCACAAGCGCTCATCATAAGCAATATCTGTGAAGAGGAGATCTTTGAGGTTGTCATACCGTATCCAGTCATGCTTGACCATTTTCCAACGGTGATCAACTCACAGTTCGCGTCTTTGCCAGCTTGATAGTCGAGGACGACTGCATCGTAAACGAACGCATCAAGTTCTCTGGAATGTATCGTTTTTATAATTGATCAATTGTGAATAAAGATTACACGAAGTATGAAGTGAGTTCAATCCAATTGATGAATATACCTTAGAGTTCTATGGCTATGTTGAAAGAGGCTTTCTGATATTCAAGATCAGCGGCCCCTGTTGGAAGGAATTACCCATTTCGAGTAATTTAGAGGTTACCGGGGGAGGGAGCGGAGTAATAGAGTGGATCGAGAACTTAGTTCTGACGTTATGNGGAGATGGTAACTTATTCTAGCGGGAGCGGGGGGGGGGGAGTAATGACAGCCTGTCAGACCATCGAAGGGATAATGGAGCACCTGAGCGTGGCAACTACTGTTCTAGATCATCAATGTGAAAATTCCAGCTTCGGAGGCAAAAAATGCAACGGTGCAGTAGCAAAGCAAATTCCTTGAACTGCCTACATGGTACCATTGCTCTAACGTTTTTGCAACAGCTTAACTCACTTACAGAGCATTTGACGGGAAATCATGCAAATCGATTACTGAGGTTTGGCAACAACACCATCATTCATTTCCCCAGAAAGAGAACATGACTTTCCGGCTCAGTAATCCATGAAAGACGAACCCCTTCCGAACGGCATCGATTCCAGAAGATATATTCATTCGGAAATAGTTATGCGTTGTTACGTATTTATTCATTCGATGCCAATTGCGTTTCATTGTCTCATGCGTATTACCGCCTTCTACGGTACCGTAACGAAACGGTGATTGCTGTTCATCGGGATAGATCAACTGAAATTTTGCTTGCTTCTTCTCTTTCAGTGCTAATCAACAGCATTGTTTATCATCTCAAATAGATATTTTCTCCGAGAGATTTCTGATATACCTCTGTAAATGAAGGATTCGATAGCAATATACATACACACACAAAAGCGTAGAAGTGTTCAAGTCGAAAACACTACCATTGGATCATGCACTCCTTCCAGATTGTAATATTGTACTCTTGTGATCATGAATGCGGCTAGGTTTGCAGTATATACAGCCAAGAATGTCAGGCCGAATGCAGCCCAAACAAGTGCCATGAAACGACTTACTGTCGAACGAGGGATATCTATAATCTTCCATTTAATGGCTTTCATACCACTACGGCTAAATATGCTTGATAATGAGTTTCATACCGCTAAATATGCCTGATAATGAGTTCGCATGAAAATGAGGATGAATTCTGGTTGAAAATGGACTCGAGGTTCTCTTGAAGATTTGGTGATTTCCAGGAGATTTGATGATCTTTGATAAACTTGAAATTGCTCACCTGTTGTGACACTTGCACTAAATAGAGTAGCCCAAACAAGCCAGTATGACCTGAATAACGAGAATTTATGTCCTGAAACAAGCGATACATTGTCAGTTTTGCCTTCTCGATATATTTGCTTTGAAATTTGGTGTTGTTGCTGTTGAAGAAACAATAAAACTTTAGCGGCGTGCACCATACATCAAACAACTCACCGGGTGGTGGATATTTTCGCATGTTGAAACTGTATGGACTGACCCATTCGAAAATGAATATTGACAAGGCTGCACCTTGAATTGAAACCAGTAGTATGATTACCCACGTTGAATATTCAAAAGGTTCTGAAATATACTTCAATAATGAGCAAGTGATAGAACCAACTGCGAAAGTATTTATTAAAATCCCAGGAATGGCGATGCGATTTCAATGAATGGAATAACGACGTCCTAGAAGAGGACTGCAGTTTTTTCCGGTACAAAAACGTGAATAAGCTGTTTCAGAATTGTGTGAACATCGCGGGATATGGTTCACCTAGGAAAGCAGTAGGTGAGAGGACACCACTTCGGATCTTCACGATAATCGAAATTCCAGTTTCGAGAAACGGAATCGAGAAGTCAATATCCCGAGCCCGCTCGGAGTTCAACTTCAACGACGTGACACACATATCCGCTTTTTGCGCTATCAGATCCTGGATCAAGCCGTTCCAACCATTCTCCTAAAAGTCAACAACCCTTTCATAATGCATCCATAACTTCGATCAGTTTCCACCACGTAAAGTCGAAAATTCGTGCTTAATGAGTATATGCACAAGTGAACTTATGTAATTTCCTAAACTCTCTCGATATCATGATCTTATGATGGTCAAATTGATAGCTTGAACAGATAGATCTCTCCTCACCGATTTGATGCCCCATTTTTCGTCACGAACTTTATAGAGCGTATATGTGAAACCGACGTCTTTAGCTAATTTCTCGAGCAGATCGACGCAATAACCCGAGCAGCACTTATTTAGCGTCCTATTCCTAAACTTCTTTNAAATCAAAAGTGGATCTGAGCATCAATTTAGAAGTTGCTCGAGTTAATGGTGACACGCAACTTGTCACCATGTTCTCGAGCAACTTCTATTCGAAAGTTTGTGGGAAATGCTGAAAAATTAAACTTATTGTTAGAAAAAGATCTGAATAAAGAATTGTAAATGTTGAAATGAGTTCACCTCAAGACTCCATCGTCTGTGAACTCCTCAACACCCCAATCGCAAATAGCGCCTTGATTCCCGGGGCATGAACCACTTTCCGGATCCAAATCGGAAACGATAATGAACGGTGGTTCATGCAGGGTGACCACTCGAACGTGGAAACTATCCGCGGTTCCTTGCGGTGGATTTGCCTTTCCACCAGGCCACTCGATATCGTCCATCCGCAGCTCGTTGTTCGTAAATTCGCCAACCTAAAAAGTACAGTTAGGGAACTGATTAGTTCTCGCGTGATTCGAACTGCTTAACTCACCCTATCGCTACAGGTAATCGTGTCACTTTAGTGAACACTGTCAGTTGCTCTCATAATCATAGCAGTGAAGCTATTCCTCATTATTCTCACTATGATAGAAGATTATTGCGCATGTCATTGCCATGTCAGTAGAAAGTTTGTGGAAAATGCTGAAAAATTAAACTGAGAAAAATTTTTCTCACCTTGTCCCAAACAAGATTTCCCTTTCTGAAATCCTTGGCTCGCTTTGTTCGAAGGTTCGATATGGTCAAATATGAGTCTTTGAGCTTGCCATCTTTCGTGAACGTATAGAAAAATGAATCAAGACCGTCCTTTAAATGGTATGGATTTCCTTTTATGAAGCTCTGCTTCATTGTTCTGTAATTATTTTCAGGGATCGAAACTAATCAGGACTGGGTCAGAAAAACTTAAAAGGAGGAAAAACTGAAACGTTTTCAGCTGAATGATTGTTTCTGGCCGAATGTTTTGTCTTCAGTTTTATACTATCGCTTGCCGCAGTTTGAAGGGAACTGAACATTCCGAACTGTAAGCGCAAATTATCTTTGGGCATTCATTCTTAG